CATGAAAGTATCTTATTTCTCCATCAATTTTGAAAGATAGTTTTGCAGGGCACATCAATCTGGGTTGGAGGCTGTTTTCCTTTAGGGCTTGAAATACATTGTTCCATGTTCTTCTTGCCTTGAGGATTTGCACTGAGAAGTCTGCTGTGATTCTGATGGGCTTTCCTTTCTATTTGATTTGTTTCTTTTCTCTAACTGCTTGTAGAATTTTGTTATTCTGTTGGGTTTCTGGAATCTTAATAATTATATGAATATGTGTAGATTTTTTTTTTTTTTAATCAAGGCTATTTGGGAGTCCTATATGCCTCACTTATCTGTATGTCAAGCTCTTTTCCCCTGCTTGGGAAGTTTTCTGCCATTACTTCTGTGAACAGTTTTTTTTATGTCATCCGCACTCTCTCCTGTTTCTTCCCTTACTCCAATCAGTCTGATGTTATTTTTCTTTGCATCGTCTAGTAGCTGCTGGATTGATTTCTCATGGTCCCTTACTATTTTTAAGAAATTTTTCTTTTCCTGGCCACTAATTGCAATCCTATCTTCTATATCTGAAATTCTATCCTTGCATTGGCTCATTGTGCTGCATAAACTTTCAATGGAGTTTTTAATCTCCTGGAAATCTATTTGCATCTGTTTTATGGATTCCATTCCATCATATTCCTCAGGTCATCTATTTTTTTATCTGTGTTCTAGATTAATCATGTCTTGTACTATGGGCACAATCTCTGGTGTTATCTGAGAAATTATTTCTATTTTCATTTTTTCCAGGTCCCATTTTGTCACCAGTTCAGGGATTCTAGGTGGTTGAGTATCAGATTGTTTCATCTGATTTTCCTTTGGGGTTCCCTTAGGTGATCTGGAAGTCTGGTTTTGGGATTTATTAATGTGTCTTCTTATTTCAACAGATGCAGCCTGCTGTGTCTTTGTTGATGGGACTTTTTCTCAACCAGTGGTCTTGAATTCCCAGCAAGCCACCAAGTAGCCTTTACTTTGCTGCTCACCAATATATGAATTCCTGGGTTCAGAGTGGTGGCCTTCTAGATCCCTGAGCTGACCTGTTGTTTGGGCGGGCTTCTGGCTGGGGCCTGAGCACTCTTGGGATGGTATCTAGGCGTGCCTCTTGCTGGGGCCCCTATGTAGCTATTGTCTGGGAGGGCCTTTGGTTGGGGGCCGTACACTCGTTTCTGTTGTCTGCTCAGGCTTTAGCTAGGGTCTTTTCACACTTATTAATGGTATTGGGGAAAGCCTCTGGGTATTGCTTGTGTGCCTGTACAGCTCTTCTCCAGGCAGGTCCCTGGCTGTGGCTGATGGTTTGGCAAGCCTCTGGCTGAAGCCCGTGTGCCCAGTGCAGCCCCTTTATGGTCAGGCCTTTGGCTTGGGCGGTTGTGCCCGAGCCTCTGGGGTGAGGCAGAGCCCCGGTTGGGATCTGCTCACAGCCTTGTTGGTCTGGGCCACACAGCTGCTCCCTGTGATCTGCAGGCTCTCATTGATGGGATGGGCCTCCAGCAGGAGCCCACGTGCCCCTGCAGCTCCTCTCTGGGCAGCTAGATTTGTGTAATTTTTACACAAAAGTATGCAAAATATATTTGTATTTGTTTTTACACTCCAGTTAACAATTTTCCTATATTCCTCATACTTCTCATGATGGCAATCGAAGTACTGTATTAACTTGTTTCTTATAGAATGCTTAAGCTGTTTTAACCTTAATGATCCATAATGAAGAATTGAGTCATATGCACAACAAATGCTAAACTTCTCAAGTAGAACTCTCATATTGTAATTTTGATAAAAAATGCCAAACTAAGCTTAAGAGATTCTATCAATTACACACCCCCACATAAATTTCTTTAAACTCCTGCATCTTTGAACACAAGATTTTAAAAACCAGGTTAAGTACAGGGATCTTGTTTTTGCTTGCATTTCCTCAACTTCTTTCCCAGCCCACATGTTCAAGAACCCCATTTTTCTCCCTAATGCATGTGGCCTTCTGAACCCAACAAGATGACAATTCTGTCCCCACCCCTGCTGCCTTCTTGGGTTTGGCTTAGGTTTTGTAAACCCACAGAACTTTTGCTGTCAAATATATTGTTTGGTGTCACTTTTAAAACTGTTTCAAAATCCTTGTCAATTTAAATCTTACTCTTCTGTGGAAAATACATTTTTGATCTGTCTACCCAAATTCTACGTACAGAATAATCTTTCTCCAATTTTTAATACTTACCGTTTTAATTTTTATTTATCTTGACATTCTGCTGCTATATTAATCTCACTATTCACTGAACCAAATTCTCTACACATTTCCAGAAATTTTCATCTCTTATGTATGGGCTCTTCATTCTTCCAAAGACCTGGTGGAAACTGCTTGCTTCAGATAATCTTGAGGGTTTCTGTATTAATTTATACAACTTCCCTACTTCTCTTAAATATGCTCGGGGATTCACTATAGTATGAAAATACATAATTTTGGTATGTTCATATAGTGAAATATAGCATATGGCTATTTAAATGAACATGTCAATGGGCAGATCAAACACTGGATGAAATCACATAAGTATACATGTGATTGTTTGTTTCACACACATTAAATATATTTCATCAGTTCTCTAATAAAGTTCCTAACATCATAAAGGTTTATGAATTGCAAACAAATACATAGCAAAGGGATGAAAACATGTATGATATCCAAACTTTAAAATAGTGGCTACTTCTGAAGACAGGGAATTTACCAGCATATGGCAACCTAGAGTGGTAACTTTCGTGTATTAAGACACTTGAAACAAAATGTCAAAAGCCAAATATTTGTTAAACCTAGGTGGGTGCATACATGTTCCTAACTGAAGTGTTTAAGTGTTTTTGTGAATGTCTGAAATAGTTAACATTCTTGACTGGTTTTTAGTATTCTGAAAAAATTTAGGCCTGGCTAAAAGGAACATTTTCATCAATTTTGTAGAAATGTTTACATATCTTGGTAATAGAAATTAACCAATTTGTTTGTATCTTACCACTGTAATCTGTAGCATTTTTCACAAAATCTTTTTAGTACGTGTGCTGCAGAAGTGAGCACTCAAAATCTTAAAACAAGTAGAAAACTAATAGCTGCTGATAGATCCCTTAAATATTTATTCCTTTATTTGGAGACCTGGGGTTGAGTGGAACCTGGATGTTGGTATACTGCCCAGCTGGGAGGTTTCATCTACTGACAATATAGGTATGTTCTAATTAAACAGCTATACAATCTTATCTACTTGGTACAGGGTTGAGGGGGGCAGACAACCTCACACAGAACTCAACATAGAAGTTTATGGTTTACTTTCCCGAGTAAAGTTTCTTCTTTCAATTCAGAATTCCCATTTTAGTCTTGGGGTATCTTTGATTTAGCATCAATGTAATTCCTCTATCTCAATTGCACAGCTTGTGCTAAACACCGATAAAATAAGACCTCCATCTTTTTTTTGGTACCGGGGATTGAACTTGGGTCCTCAAGCTTGTGAGGCAGGTAGCGGAACTGAGCTAAATCCCCAGCCCCAAGACCTCCATTGATTAGCTAAATCACAAGGGGCAAAATGGCAGAGTCTCGGTTGCAATAAAAATTATTATGAATACTCTTTCCTAAAGAAGCAGTACACAGCTAGCTACCTTTTCAGCTGTAATCATTCTCTTGCCAGTAATATTCTCAGTGTCTAAAACAAGCTTTCATACTGTAATAAACAGACAAAAGACAGTCCAAGTACAATTTTTTAATAAAGATAATTACAAAAGATGGAAAAATTGCTCAGAAAGGCCAATTACTTTAATAGATCAGTTTTTGACATAACTCACATCAATTTTAAATACTATCACATAAAGCATGGTGGAGAAAGAAATTTTGCTTCATAATTAGAAAAACTCACAATAAAACTTGCCAAGAAAAACAAAACAAAAAACCATTTTGAAAATAAATACAGTCCATGCCAAAGTGGTATAAAATGAAACTTGAAGTCTTCAAAAAGAAAAGTTTTTGTCCCAATGTTTCCTCGATTTTTAATGATTTTCTAAAATTGGGAAGACTCTCCAATTCAAGGGTTGCTGAGTTGTTCTGATTTGGCTCTGTTGAAGGAAGCAACGTGAAATATTAATGACAAAATGTAAAGCAGAGATGGCAGAAAACAGGGAGACAGACTTTCTGGAGACAGCAAAGCAGATCAGGGAAAGGGGGATAGAATCAGAAATAATTACAACATTGGTTCTCCAAAATGAATGGAATTCATTCTTATCTATTACAAATGCATATCAATGAAAAAAGTTTCAAATTTTTCACAACTAGTAGTAGTAGTTATGTGAGCTGATGGGTAAATTAGCTTGATTTAATTATTCTACACTGTCTAAATATCAAATATGGAATTTTAACATGTCAAGAATAAAATTAAAAACAGGACATTTTTCATAAATCTAAGGGTGTGCCTGCGCAACTGATTAAGACAGCAGAGTTGATGCAGTAAGATGTCAGATTATCATATTCCAGTGCTCAAAATGTTATTTTTGATAATACATACTTAATAAATCATATACTGTAGTTGTTACGAAGTTCAGAAGTATCTGTATTACATACAAAACTGATAATTACATTCCCCTCCTCCTCTCTTTAATAATCAAGAATGGCACAGTTTTGGTTCAAATATCCTAACCTATTTTATTCATCTGGTCCTGTAAGTTTATGCCAAGAAACATTATCAGCTGATCAAGCCCAAGTGTTTTCAAGTAATAAATGGTTTAACCTTTCTAGTGGTTTTATAATCCATTAAAGATTATCCTTTCAAAGCTAGCATAAAATGTGCAACCAATCACATGTGCTTTCTGACAATAAAATCCTCGATTATATTTTTATTTACTATAGTTATTTTAGCCCAATGCTGCTTAAATTTACCTAGCTCACAACACTAAAAAGAAAAAATTGTACAAAAAGTTGAAAATTTTATGGAAACTATATATAAAGGTTAATAGCCAAAAAAAAGTCTTAGTTAATTATGTACAAGAAAGAGCAAATTTAGAGCCAGGTATGGGGGCACATCCCTATAATCCTAGTGCTGTAGGAGGCTGAGGCAGGAGCACTGAAAGTTCTAGGCCAGTCTGGGCAACTCAGTGAGACCTTGCCTCAAAATAAATAAAAAAGGGGCTGAGGATGTTGTTCAGTGAGAAGGCCCTGGATTAAATCCCCAGTATTGCTTAATAAATATATCCACATGTACATACAAACAAAATAAATTCAGAGCATCTGATATAATTTGCTAATGCTCTCCAGTTCAGCCCTGTATTTCTCAAGTGGGTATACCTATGTACACACACAATCCACCCAAATAGTAATTTTAAACAAATTAAAATAAATGTATTGTATTATAGTGCAAAAAATTACTAGTTAAGGAAACTCATTTACCCTTTGGTATCTGTTTTTTCACCACTATTGTCCTTGGATTTATCTTCTTCCTTTACATCTAAAATCAAAGATTAGAAAAAGATTAAAACCCATTTTGGTAATGTGAAATAGGAAGAAAAGGGGCAAAGGGGAAGGAAGTGGGAGGGCTAGGAGAAAGATAGAAGGGAATGGGATTAATATGAGAAAATGGAAAAATAGGAACAAAATCTTTGTAAATAGGGAGGA